AGCGGGCGTGAGCGGTGAGCGGGAGGTGTCGGGAGGATGTAGCGAAAGGCAGCCCGAGTCCATGCCCGGAGCGCTGCCAGGGGTGACGGGACGCGGCAGCCCCGGGGGATACCTCGGGGAGGCCGCGGAGGTCCGGGAGGCACAGAGCATCCCGCCGCAGCTGGGCTCCTGGGCACCTCCGCTCCACGGGAATGTGCGGGAAAAAAAAACTGGGAAAGGCCGGTGGGGAGGGGGTGGAGGGGTGTGGAAAAATGCGAAGCCTCCCACCCCCACCCGCACAACCAGTTACTGTGGAAAGCTCCATTTCAGGTTGTCTCATACAAGAGTTCATGCTGCAGCGTGCAGATGAGCGGATGAGCTTGAGAAGCCGCTTGTCTTCACTCTTCTAAATTTTCTCTTACCATAACACAAGACAATGTGTTGTGGGTTTTTCTTCTCCTCGGATATTTATGGATGGTTGTGTCTTTCATAATGTCTGTCATCTGAACAACACAAGGTATTTTTAACGGTCTTCTCCCAACACAGGCCAGTCCACTCAAGCGTGGAACAAATGCTTTTCATCACAAGGAGAATCACCGCTATTGTTCTCCCTTTCGGCCTAGATGCTGCCCTTGGCACAGCGCAGGCAGCCCCCTGCGCTAAATACAGACCGCATCCAGAATTACAGATCTCTTGTGAATGCAGTCACACATTCTGCTAGTATGGTTCTGGGTTATATTTTAAAAAAAACCCCAAAATTACAGACAAACTTAAGAAAATAGAAACATTTATTGAAATGTGCAACATACTCATGTGAAACATTTAGCACTAATTATGTGACAATATAATTTAAAAATTCATCATCTGTAACATTCAAATATATCAAGCATCCTTCAAGCTGAAAAAGGGAGCATCCTAAAATGCATCTTAAATGACAGTTTGATTTGTTACCCAAGGTATGTACACGATGATTTTAACTGAAGTAACTCAGACTCCTAAACGCCCATTCTCTACAAATTTTACAAATATGTACAGCTGCATAATACTGGTAAACTACAGTGTAAGTTCCTTTGCAATTCAGCACCTCTAGCAAGTGCTTAGCTGCAGTACTCTGAGATTACACATGAAAATACAATTAGGCATATCTGTGTTTACAGGACTTACATTTAAATCCTGACTCTTCAGTGCCACAAAGTGCATGTAATCTCTAAGCCAGGGAGTAGCCCTATTGAATTCAGCGTTATTTTCCTAGTCCCATTCTGAAAGTCAGGCCCAACTGTAGAATGAAAGCCTGAAGTCCGTTTTCGGTCCAATGTGAACTGTGTTTATAGTTTAAAAAATAATAAATTAGGTTAATCAAGCCGTAGCAAAAAAAAATTTAGAGATTTTACACAAAAAGGAATTTTGCATATAAAAATACCAATAGCTATTCTTTAACTTCTGTCAAACTGTGTTATGTCAGATTCTTTATTTCCAGTGTACACAACTGGCATTTCCTTTGGAAAAGAGTATAACACAGAGCAAAAACTTTCTCTTGATTATGCCTGGTAGCAAGAGGCGATGTAAAATCCTTAAGATTTTAAGAAGATAAGAACTTAGAACCTTCTGATAAAAGACATCTTCAATGTCTTTACATTATTTACTGGATTTTCACATTGTCAGCTCCAGTTTGTTTATCCTGCAGCTTCCTCCATCAGCACAGAGGATCCCTTGCTGCAAAAGAACAGCCATTTACAGCGGAAAATGCGAAGCAAAGAATAGCAGGATTTCTGGATCTGAATGGGAGTTTGTGCACCTCACATCTGCGTGCCGTGGCACAGCTGGCATTTCCCGCAGAAGCGGTGAGCTGGTAGATTTGTGGTACATTGATGCACTAAATCTTTCCCCATGCCAGGACCGGGCCAGCAGCAAAGGAAAAATGCCTCTTTTCTATCATACAGCATAGATGCTGAGGAAGAGGATATGTTTAACATCTGAGCGATGGGAATGCAGAGGAAGTCAAACCCCACAGTTACATAAATTTGCGCTGCCCATAGTTGCTACTCAGGCAGAACTCCAACTAAGGTCAGCGAAACAGATGCCAAAAGACTGTGGGGTTAATGTGTGTGGGCCACATTTTAAATGTCACTTAGTATTAATACAAGAAAAACAAAAATACTGAAATGTAAGTGTCTACGAAGTGTTGTGATTGCAAAATGCAAAATACAAAGAGACGAAAGAGCACCACTGAGACACTGTATTTACAGTTAGGATAGTAAAAATAGCAACTGAAGGAATTATAACGGAAACATTTTCACAGTGTATTCAGAGCTGCACCTTCCTTTATTCAGAAGTAGCAGCTCCTACTTAGGTGCTTTCGAAGCTTCATTAGGTGAATGCAAAATATTGCTCTTGAAAAACTCTTTTAAAAAAAAATCAACTAGCATTACCAGAAAAGGGAAAGAAGGTGTCATTTTCTCTACGTGGTACATTTAATGCATGCTGTCTCCCAGCTGCTGCAAATATTTAAACGTGTGAGACAGTGCGAGCACTGAGCTCAATGGACAGTAAGAATGAGCAGTGCCAGCTCACTTCTGCTTTGTGCAATGCTTATCCCCGTGCCCTCCACACAGAGCTGTGGGGCGGATGGGACTAGTTAAATTTGGAAAACTGTAATTACAAAGCCGTAAAAAATGCCAGAAAACCAAGAACAAGGGCAGCATATTAGATTACTGGTTTTGCAGGGGGGTTTGGCCTTTCTGTATTTTATGTTGATGCTGCCAGCTCTTAAAGTCAAAGACAGATATCACAAAACCCGACTAGTTTCACGTAATACCTGCATGTTTGCAGTCAGCAAGTAAGAATGATTACTGAGCCAAGCAACCTTTAAAACAAGGATACATGGTATACGAACTTATGAAAATTAAAAAAAAAAATCACAAAAATAAAAAGCATGCAAATAACACAACTAGCGTGCAACAGAAGTTACGTATTAGATCTGCTACATAGTATTAATTGATTTCAGAAGGAATCTTCATCATAACTGTATGTATGGGGAGAGAAAAAATGTTTAAAATATTAAATCAGTATTTACAGAGAGAATTAAAATGGAGAAAGTTATGACTAAAATGCAAACATTGTTTTCACTGCAGATATTTGTTAAAACTAAGGTCATTGCCAATGTGAAATAAGAAGTTGTTTGTCATTGGGTAAAATCCACTTTCATGTTTTAGGACAAATATAATATTTTTTCATGACTAAAAATAGGTTTTCACAGAAAATTACACCCCCCAATATTTTTGCAAATATCATGTGTGTATATGGAGGAGAGGGAGAAGAACAACAGACGCTTTTACAGTTAAGTCTCATAGAATGAAAATTGCCAATTTTTTTTATCTTGATTTCCTTTCAAATATATTATTACAGACAATGATTCTTAGATTCTGACAGTCAATTACCCCTGAAAAAGGCAGGGGCTGCATCCAGAGGGCTGCCAGCGGCCCCTCTTGTGACCGAGTGAGGAACTGCAAT